AGTCTGAAATATGGAGCCCTCTTTTGCGTAGAAAAAAAACAGGAGCACATTAACTGATGGAGTGCTGTGTGAGCACAGAGACAGAGAGCACGTTAGTTGAGTCATCCTGTGAAGAGGCTATTCCAATCTCTGTCCCAGCGTCACCCTGCAGACACCACAGCGGCAATTTGTGCCTTTAAAGATCAACATTCCTCTCGAAAACATGCTCGTGGGTTACTCGTGGAGTCAGTTTGTGTGCTCCGAGGGGGGGGGGGAGAGATAACCCGCAATCGGGCTTGTGGATGCGTTTATGTGGACACCCGCGCTCAGTAGTAATAAACATCACACAAACCGTGCCCTTCAAGCCATTTCCAGCTATTTCTGTTTTACTTTCTTTCTTTTTTTTATCTTTTCATGCGCTGTAAGAGACACGGGTAAACACTGCTGCCCTTGTTTTTGCCTACAGGAGGCAAGCTGTGATCGAAAAGGTCCTCTCTAAGGCCGCCGAGATCACTCTGGGTCGCTAAACAATTTAAACGTTGCGTTGCCTTTGGAACCCTCCAAAAGGATGTGGAGAAACATCTGGAACCAGTAGGATTTGTTTCCTTAAGGGGTCTAGTTTCCCCCACATTCGTGTAGCCGAGAAGCCTTGGCCACAGGATATGCAGGTGATTTATGAGACGGCTCGCCGTCTAAACGGCAGCGGTTGCACACTTTGACACACACTTGACTGGAATTCACATCTGTCTACGTCAGAAAACGACAGCCCGAGTCTCGTCCGTCCGCCCGCGGCTCGTCTTGTCTCTTGGTTGGGCCGTGTGGCGCGGGGACCTCGGGACTACCTCACAGAGGCTTCTGTCAGCCTGGTTTTCAACAGGCAAAACAGAATAAGTCAATTAGCAGGCGTAATTGCGTTCAGGGCCTCAGCTTTTGGCATATCCAATCAAATTATGACTCTCAATGTTCTTTTTTTTTTGCCGCGGCACACCATTTGCCTTAAGCTGCGCCTTTTAGGATCTGTCCTCTGTGTCTGTCTCTTCTCTGGTTTTCTCCCCGTCCCCCGCGGCTGTGCCATCCCTCTGCTTTGTAGCTTCCCCTCGCCTCGCTCATCGTCCGCCCACGCCGTCGTTTTTTTTTTTTTTTCCCTTTTTTTTTTTTTTTTTTTTTTTTTCCGGACAGCAGTGTTTCTTTTCAATTACCTCTCCCTCACGTTTCGCTCCAGTCATCTTTCAGCTCCGCTCGGCCCCGTCCCTCAATAGATCGCCTCCTCGTTTACGCCGAAGCCTCGCGCTGAATAATGTGGCTGAGCGTCTCGGCCCAGATAGGACCAAATAAATCTGCTCGTCCTTTAAAGAAAAAAAAAAAAAAAGAGAAAAATTCTAGCTAACGATGCGTTGTCCGCTTTAAACTTATCTTAAACACCCCCCTCATCTCCCCCACCCCACCACCACCACCACTGCCCGGAAAAGAAACCTCGGCCAGGCTTTGTTCTGCCAGAAGCTGTCGGTGGGATAAGTGTAACCGATATCTGCAGGCCCGGGCAGACCAGACGGTGTATAATTGAGTGATAGGGCCTAATGTAAGCGAATGGCTTAGGACCGACTGTGATCCACAGAAGCTCAGGCGCAGAGGGACGCTTTCCGTTAGCCTCTCGGCAGCACCAGCTACAGCAGCCTCCCAGATGACGATCTGGCCGCTACCCGGCTGAGTCTGTGAGAGCGAGTGTGCGCGAGCCGTTTCCTGCCATCCTGCCCCTCATTTGTTCTCCCTCCAAACACCTGCTCTTTTTTTTTATTTGCTCCTCTCTCCCTATTTGTTTTATATCTGCCCCACCGCTAACACCCCCCACGAGTTATCTTAGCCCTTTAATTAACGTGGCGTGCTGTGAAGTGAGATACTAAATAATGCAGGCTTTTCCAGTGGCACTGAACCGGCTGGAGTGATTAGCGACCACGCAAAAACCCCCCCACACAGATTCAGGCTCACACAGCTAAACGATTGCCCTCTGTGCCAGTTATCCAAGTCTCACCCCGCTGTTAATGCTACCCACGAACTCCTTTTGGTCAATGAATATGTGAATAAAATGAAAATAATTAGTGAAATATGTATTGTAACAAAATGAAACCAGCCTGAGGTCGAGAGGTTGTCCCTTGTGACCCATCGGGGTGCAGCTCTGGAACATTTGCTGTCTAGAATTAAGACGATCTGGCTCTGCTCTTGTGCAACCCCAGCGACTCTTAATCAGATCGGAATCTGGGGAAATGGTTGACAATCCGAGGTCTTTTTGTGGTGTTCGTTGTTTTATTGAATGGGGTCTGAAGTCGTCAAAGGAGGACTGCTGCCATGGGGTCTGCAACAGGGTTTTAGGGGGGTGGGATGTCCTTGATTAACATCCACTCCGTTTGTTAGTAGTTTTTTTTTTTTAAATTACAAACAAAAACAGCAGCCAGTACACAGCTGACTGGCCACAGTGAGTCTGGCATCGGGGATAGCCGCTAAACATTTCTTTTAATCATTTAGAAACTCCTTGCCCTTTTTTGTTGTTATTTGTTATTTTCTCCCTCTGTGGCCTCTTTATTGGTTCAAGCTGTTATGATTTTGCTCAAGTCGTTTTAGTGCAAGGTCCCGTTTCAGCTTTTTCTAAAGGTTTTTAATGGGCCTTTCATCCCTGGCCAGTTTAAAACTATCAATCTTTCTCCTTCTTTAAACATTGTTTTGAAGCCGCTGGATCTGTGCTTGAAATCATTAAGGGACCAAGACTTTCAAACTTTTTCTTTTTGAAGCTTAGTTGCTTGTCTTACTGTGAAGATTCCCGGTATCCTGATTTGATTTGTTCAGCTACAGTTGGTCGTTGCGCTTGGAGGGTTTCACTCCAAGAAAAAAGCACACCGAGCTAAAGGAGAGGAGAGGAGAGGGTCGGAGACACTGCCCAGGTCAAAATAACAAAGATGAAGGTGAACAATTTGAAGATCGTTCCTTAGGTGAGCCCAACTAAAACCCCGGAGAGATATGGAGGGAATGGAAGAACCACTGTGGAAAGACAACTCTGTCATTTCATGAGCCATTGACAGACTGGGGATGTGGCTTACATCAAGAAGTCCAACCAGTGATAAATGGAAGCTTGTGCAGTTCCAAAACAGGCCCTGAGCGCAAACAGAAGGCAGGGTGTATCACAGCACACAGGGCCGCGAGTGCAGGCTTCCCCGTAAGGAGGTTTAGCACTTAGTGACAACGTGTAAGATGCAGCCAGTGACTTTGTGCATGGATCGCCATAACCAAGTTTCAGGAGGAGTATTATGCCGGGGCATGTTTTCTGACTATGGGTTGGGAGTCCCAAATGTGCCATGGATTGATAGGGCAAAGAGCAAAACAATCCTGTGCGATGTACCAACGCAAAGTGACCGCAATATCAAGAAGAGGGCAAATGAAATCGTTAAAACAGCCGAATCGGGAAGTGAAACGAATGCAGGACCTAAAGGCAGCAGTGGTGTCAGTGGTTTGTGAGCCCCGGGGCCAAAACCGAGGGTCACTGCTCGCGATCCAAAGCAATAATTCTAAATAGCTCTGTGGATAAACACACAGGCTCCTAAATATGATAGCATCCTGTACAGTACTGAGTCGCTGTGCCGAGGCACACATCGAAGCGGAGGACTTAATGTGTGCTGGGGGAGATCTAGGTTATCCCAAAGCAATTGTTTTGGACCAAACCAAGTGGAAAATCCAGTGTGGGTTTATTTTTTATTTTTTTGTTGCCTTGGCTGCAGGGATGCTAAGAGCTCTGGGTCCCAGTGTTCTTCCGCCCCACCCCCCTTGTCTTTTTTAATCAGATGGCTTGTTCAGGAGTGGAGGGGATTAAGACTGCTGCTGCTGATGATGATGATGATGAATCTGTTCAGTTTTGGAGAGCACGCAAACACATGGGCGTACTCTCTCACATGTACCGAGGACAACCGGGCCGCACGCATACAGACGTACACACGGCTGCGTACACGGGGGGGAAAAACAAGTCCCACACAGGCACATGGAATCGCCATTAATGTGCACGGTCACGCACACGCAAAGGCGGCGGCCGGCGCTCAACACGAGCGTGACGGCCGCCTGTCTCCGCTCACTTTCAGCGTCTCGTTCAACACCGTCCGGTCAACAGCTGCGATGTGCCATGTCAAATGATGTCATGTGACGCGAGCTGCGGGCCGCCCGACACACAACGATGGCAAATGCTGACACACACACCACACCGACAAGCAGAGAAGGGGGGAACAGAGAGATTTAAAAAGAGGGATGAAAGAGTAATAGGATGGACTGATCAGGAAACTAAACGGCACGGAGAAAAAAAAAGGGTGTAGTATGGAAAGTATGGTAACGTGGAAAAGGACAGAGTGGAAGGAAGGAAGTCAGCTAAGGATGAAAGGATAGAGACACTGAGCTGTATGTTGATCCAACACTTTGTGCAACATAGCCAGCAGATAACACCAGCCAGTCTCCTCCCACTTTAATCTCCCCGCCATCCATCAATCCCTTGCTCTATCCTTCCACCCCTCCATCTTAGAGTCATCCACTTTTTCATCAATCTGAAATCATGCTGTTTTGACGCACATTTGGAAGAAATCCGATATTGAAGTACAGGCGGCTTTGTAGATTGTGTAACCAGCAGAAAACTAAAAACGGGGGGGGGGGGGAAAAAAACCAGGGCCCTGCGCCCTTGGGGGGGAAAAAACCCACTTCAAGAGAGGAGTGTGGTTTGTTTGTAAAAAATTTCCGCCGATTTTTTTTTTTGTAACGCAAATTTGTCAACTTCTTTATGTGAGCGCGCATGCACGCACAAAACACACCTCGGGCATTGAGTGCATGGTTCCTAATGATGCGGGAAGAGAAGAAGCAAAGAAGTAGAGTGTGAGGCCTTCAGGGGAACTCACACTTTGTTTGTGTGTATGTGGGGGGGGAATGGCTTGCACAAACTGTTGGATGTTCGAAACTCTTAATTTTGGACGTTCTCTCTTTTCTCCCCCTCCTCTTTGCAGGTTGTGAAGGCTTGTTTCTATCATCCTGTTGTGCAGTGAGGCAGTGAGCTCACGGTGGATACAGCATGCATGTGTCGACCTATCCCACGATGCACTCTGCCAGCCCAGGCCTGCTCCTCCTCAGCTTCCTTGTCCTCGCCGACGCTGACAGTGAGTCCTTTCCCGCGTCGTCTTTATGTATTTTCTCACGAATCACACAAGCGGGGACTTACACACACACGCACACACACACACCTACTCAACACAGCTATGCGCAAATGTTTCAGGGACAACTTCCAAATTCAGCTTGCACCACAGGCTCAAACCTTTCAGCCAGAGTCATAAACGGTTATCTTCCGCCACAAGAGGCACAAGAAGTCATGCAACAGATGCTGAGGCCTCGGTCTGAGACCTCCGGCTCTGTTTTTTTAGTCGTTCTGGGATTAAACGAACAGAAAGGAGTTAGTCGAGGCGACTCACCTGCCAAGTTCGTAAAGCAACTTGGAAGTGCACCTAGAGCGAGAGCGGTTCCTTCAAACGCCAGCTTGATCTGGTTCGCACTGTTCGCTGCACTTTATATGACTTCCGCCCGTCCTTTTTCAGCTCCAAAGTTTTGCAATGTACCTCACGCAGTTTATGCTTAGAGAAAAACTACTGAATAAAACATTTACACCACATATCTTTTGAATGCACGTACTGTTTGTACTTTCACACCGAGCATTGAAAATGACCTGGTTTTGTCTTACAAAGCTATCCACTGTAGATATCATTTCCCCTCTGTATGACTGCGATTTTGTGTGTGTGTGAGTGTGTCTATCTAGATATGTGAGAGCCTGTGCTTGCTAGCAGTTTTGACATGGGGCCAGCTGTTTTTGTCCATCCCAGTATTACTTGGCATAGATAGATGGTATACATATGGCAAATCAGATCATTTTCCTACTGCTTGTGTGATTGTGCTAATACTTTGTGTGTGTGTGTGCGTGCGTGTGTGTATGTGTGATCCCTGCAACCAGTACTCATCCACAGCTTTTTTCAAGAAAGATGTTGGTCATGAGTCATGGTTTTAATCATGGCTGCGGTTCTAATGTCTTCAGCAAGCACACCAGTCTGTCCACGGCTTTCTCAGCCGATCAGGTTGAAGACAAATAGATCTGATGTCCTCCACGCCAGATTTCTGGTCTTCAAATTTGCACGTCATGCACACGTAAGGCTTCAAAATCCGACTGTCGAAACCCGAAGGCGAGGTTACTTCCCAGATGTCGTCAAAACTGGGAAAAACCCCAGGAAAGTCTTATTTAGGTGAGCCACAGGCAGCATGGAGGCACTGATCACGGCAGCCCCAGAACAGGCTCAGAGCACAAGAGCAACAGAATCTGGGATCTACTTAAACCAACCATGGCCCCAAGTTCAGGCCTCCCAGACATTCCAGCACACGGTGGCAGGATGTAAGATGTCATAACCAAGTGACAGGAGGAATGTTCTGGAACATCTGTGCCAAGTTAGGGGCTGGAAATCCATAGTCCTAAGTGGGCCTCCAATGGCGGTAGAGGATGACAGCTAAGGTCCAGTGGGATTTCCGGATCCAGACGGGTGAGCAGGTGATGGCTAACCGACAAGCTACAGAAGAAGGGAATAGTGATAGATGTAACAATTCAAGGGGGAAGAACATCGAGAAGCCAGTCCCTGACTGAGAGATTGGGTCCAGCTAATCCTGGGAACAACATCCGATATCTCTGTCCAGAGGATTGCGGTTCCAGGAACAGTTGGGATACAGCGTGGAAGCCTCAAGCTTCCAGGCCTACAGACTCAAGCTTGACCCCCCACTAAAATCTGGGCGAATATGGAGTTTGACCTGCAATTTTGATAACCATTTTCATCAAGTGGCTGTCCGCTGAAAAATAGTGTGGTGTAGCCATCGAGCATCTGTTGGTGTTATCGATGAGTAGTTTCCTCCAATGTGATACATACCCCTACAACCAGTGGGGACGTATTTCCTACAGTTTTGCTGTTACTGAAGACTTTTTTTTTTCTCTTTCCAAGATAACTTGCTGGTCAGTACATGCTCTCATTATGTCTCAGAACCACCGTTGTGACCCGAACAAATCCAGTTTTACACAAAAAACATGTCTTGGCCTTAAGATGATACAATTCAATTCAAGCCCATTAGAGCCCAATTCAGAGAAATACAATCATAATATAATCAGTTCCAATTTACTTTGGTAAGCACCTAAACACCCCTCATTGTACAAGCCCCTTTTCTTACATTTTGGATTGTTTTTTCTTTATTCGCATTGCTTTGTGTTCTGATTATGGCTTTTGTTGAATGGCTTTCGTCATACAGACCTAGTTTCTTTTCAGTTGTTGTTTTCAGATGTTTTCCTGTTTTGCTCTATTCTGCTTGCTCATTTTATCTTGCCCCAAGGTTTGTTTGTGGGTTTCCCTTTGGACTACTGTGCTACAGATACACTTTATTTTCATTCCTTTGTTGACATTTTCTGAGATGCATGATATCTTTTTTTCCCATCATATGCAAAAAGTCACAAAAGAGAAAAAAACATAAAGAGGAAGGTAAGCCAAAGGGTTATGGAATTAAGTAAATCTAAATAAAACAAGAGGCAATAAAGAAACACAATTGTATCCTTCTTATTATTATTCTCTGAGAGTGTAGAAAAAGTTTTTGTCTTAGAAAATTGGAAAATGGTCAGATAGTTACTTGGCCTGACATGGCTCCCCTGTCAACTTGTCGGGTTGATAAGTCGTAATGAGATTCTGAATCCCAGGAGAGGGATATTGAAATTGTGATGGGTTGAGATGAAGGATGACGACAGATGCGAAGAAAGAAGAGAAGTGTGGGAAAAAGGGAATAATGTAACACAAAGAGAGCTCTTGGACTTCATCCCGTCTTTGATTATACGCAGCACTACCTTTTCCAGCGTGGGTCCAAATTTGGTCCCTCATACGAGAAAGTAAAGCTGATTAAACAGGGAGCGCAGGCTGGTTTGTAGAAGGGAAAGTCCGCCTCAGCTCCAGGCTTGTGGCCGTGCGACGCTCAACACATATCATCACCACTCTGTAAAGCACACACACAGACACACACACACAAGTGCAGGCCTCAGGCAGCCATTTCTGTGCTGGAATGTTTTCTGAAAGCACACACACACATACACGCACACATCCAAAAACGTTTCTCATTTTGCTCCCAGCCTTCTGCCCTCTTTGCCCATATCTACGTTCCAGGGTCAGCCTGCGAGGGCCCAGTCATCCGTCAAAACGATGATACTCTCAGACATCCTCGATGAGGGTTCGGGGAGTATCGCGGATGCGACAAGTGTGGAAAGGATTCATAGTCTGTTTTTTCTCCGTGTATATTTTCGCTCTCTCCCCCCTCACCACCACCTCAGCGTTATTGGCTTTGACTTTCTACATTGCTCTTTCTATTCGCACTCTTCTGGGTAGAGAGAGGAGGGGTGGAATGGGGGAAATAGGAATAAAAAGCTGTTCTTTTTGTGTTTTTTATTTGTGTACAACATTCAACGCGTCTTAGTATCTACCGTGGGGTCTCAAAGGCAGTCAATGCGCTTCACGCACGTTCACTCGCACGCGTCTGTTTGTTTTAAAATGTTGAAACGCACTCAGAAGAACTGCTTGAAGTTGTGCCGATCTTCCTTCTAACTGGGAGCTTTTTTTCGTTTGCTTGTTTGTTACTAGAATAAAGGCTAAAAGGTAGGTTTTTATACTCAAGAGACGCCAACATCAATATGCATGCCCGGCGCAGTCATGTTACCCAGCGCGGGTCTGAGGGTGCGACCAAATGAAGCGTCCACTACTTGGAATCCTCGCATGACTTCACCGTATGTTCGCCATGACAGAAGCAATGTTGCAACAAAGCAAGCAGTGCACTGAGCTTTCTATTTTTTCTTTTTTTTTTATTACGATCCTCCCCACCTTTTTTTTTTCTCCGTCTGCGCCTGCGTGCTCATGACATCTATCTGCTGGATTAAGAGTAATGCCCTGATCCCGTTGCAAACTAGGCCACAGCTCCACGTAGGCAGTGACAACCCTGTGTGAGAGACGCTATCTTTTTCTCGCCCCCCTTTTTTTTCAGGGCGATGGGGAGCAATGCTGCGACACGGTTCACTCAGCAGACTTCCGTTTCCCTTCAAATCTGGGAGCTGTCGCCCCTTTACTAGAATCCCTGAAGAAACCACGGCCCTGTTGAGCGAGCGAACGCCGCACGACAAAACAAGGGCTTACATTCAGGGACGCGTCGCCCAATAGGAAACCCCGTGCTTCAGTCAACTCTGTTTTGAAACTGGCCGAGAGTAGTTGACCATTCCTCCTCTTTACCCTCAGCTTGTATGACACCATTTGTGCAGTATACAATTTGTGCATTTTCAGTCACTCATAGAATAAGGGTCTTTTATTTTCCCTAGTTAACTAAAAGATAGTACCTTTTCATAAATATTAGTACTGATTTGAAACATGGAACTCGCTTAAGCGATGGTTGGTCAACTTGTCAACATTCAACCGTGTTGCCAGCTCTATTAAAGGCTTTTGTCTAAATGGAAACCAAAAAATGATTTGCTTGATCTCCCGAAATGACCGAACATTTGCCTTGACTGAGGTCGCCAGTCAAGGTGTGCCTTGGGCTCCGCACACCCTTGCAAACAGTGGTCTTCTTTTCATAGGGGCTCTCGATCTTCCTTCTTATTTCCCATGCACGTATAATCCAAAAGCATTTACTTGGTTTTGCTGCCATGCGTTTACTTTGCCGAATCAAAATGAGGAGTGTAAGATGGCAGAGAAGCTTCCAGGCTTGTGTATCCTGTATTTGTAAGTCCGGGACTTGGGCCTGGTGGTATGTCTGTATATATCTGTTTTGTATGTATACACAGGAAAGCATGTGTAGTGCTTAGTGTGGATGAGATTATAGATAAGCGTTGAGAGTTATGTAAGGCTCATGGCCTCTTGTGGCTGATGGATGAGGATTCACTGGGATAAAGTTAAGAGATAGGGCCACCAAGGTTATAGGCTCCTGGCTGTGATAATCAGTTAAGGGCCTGAAACAGAATCAGCTATGCTTCTTTGATGGACTTTTTTTCCCCCCCTCTATGACTGATGAGTTGCTTGTCTCGCCAGAAAAGCAAAGAAAAAGCAGAATCCTGGTTGCC